GGGCCCGAGCGCTCCGGGAAGCCACGAGGGCGGTCCTCGGCCCGGATGGAATGCCTCCCACAGACCTTCGCGGAATTGAGCACGTTTTCCCTCCCGCGCCGCCCCAGTGGGGCCCGAACACGGATAACGGTAGGGAGCGTCCACCCCAGTATCTCCAGATTCTGTTACAGGGGCTCTGCGCAGCGGCACAAAAGCCCACCGATCTGACAAAAATTCATGACACGGTCCGAGGACCGAATGAGCCGCCTGCAGCCTTCCTAGAAAGGCTTTACCAGGCTTTCCGCTTATATTCTCCTATTGATCCTGAGGCAACAGAGAACCGAAAAACCATTAATACGCATTTCGATTCTCAGTCGGCCCCAGACATCCGGAAAAACTCCAAAAATTAGAAGGATTCGAAGGAAAGGTAATTTCAGAGTTGGTAGAAATAGCCCAGCGAGTTTTTCAGAGCAGGGACAGCCCTGCCATTGTGCAAGGGAAGGAAATAGGGAAGGTCCCCGTAGCAGCCTGGGGAAAACCACCGGGCAACAGCAAAGGACAGGGGAGGCCTCAACCCCGCCAGAAAGGACCCCGAGCAACGAGCAACGCTGGGAAAACAATCAATGTGCTTATTGCAAAAAAGAAGGACGTTGGAAAGATAAATGCCCCAAGGGTTTAAAAACTCCCCTACTCGTTTTGATGAGGCTCTTCGAAGGGATTTGGTCCCCTACCGGGAGAGCCACCCAGATGTTACGCTGTTACAACAATGTAGATGACTTGCTCCTAGCCGCTGACTCCTTAGAGAGCTGCACAAAGGCTACGGAGGACCTGCTAAGGGAATTAGATGTCCTGGGATATAAAGTTTCTGCAAAAAAGGCGCAAATTTGCTTGGACTCTGTAATATACTTGGGCTACCAACTGCATGAAGGCAAGCGATCGCTGGGGCCGGAAAGAATCCAAGCTATCCTCAACATTCCTAAACCCACAACTAAAGGCAGATCAGGGAGTTCCTAGGGGCCGCTGGGTATTGCCGCCTCTGGATACCCGGTTGCGCTGAAATGGCATAACCCCTGTACTCTGCCGCTGGGGGTGAAGGAACCGAGACGGTCCGGGGAGAACAAGAAGATAGGGCTTTGGAGCAGATCAAGAGCGCCCTCACCCAAGCCCCGGCCCCAGCTTTACCTGCTATTACCAAACCCTTCCAACTATTTGAGCATGAGATCCGGGGAATTGCGAAAGGGGTCCTAACTCACACTTGGACTAACCAACGCTTGGACAAGACCTTCAGATCACAGCACCTCACCCAGTAGCATCACTGCTGCGCTCCCCGCCAGACCGATGGATCTCTAATGCGCGAATCATCCAGGATCAGGTATTGCGTCTAGACCCTCCACGCATCACTTTCCTGAAGACAGAGGCTTTGAATCCAGCCACGTTGCTGCCTGATAGGGACTCACAGGCCCCACTCCACGATTGCTTGGAAACCGTGAGTACTCTTACGGGACTGAGGGGGGACTTAAGAGATCAACCTCTGTCAAAGGTGGACTTCGAGCTGTTCACTGATGGCAGCAGTCTTGTCAAAGATGGAATCGGATATGCAGGTGCAGCTGTAGTGACTCAGGACCAGGTTCTCTGGGCCCAAGTCCTGGAGCACGACACTTCTGCCCAAAGAGCAGAGCTGATAGCCCTAGCCCAGGCCCTCAGATGGGCAAAGGGAAAAACGGTGAACATTTTCACGGGTAGCAGGTACGCCTTCGCCACCGCCCAGGTTCATGGAGCTCTATATAAGGAAAGAGGACTGTTAACATCAGGAGGGAAGGAAATTAAAAATAAAAAAGAAATCCTGGCCCTACTGGAAGCCTGACGGCTTCCTAAAAAGGTGGCTATTATACATTGCAAGAGCCACCAAAAGGCAGACTCGCCCCAAGCAGAAGGAAACGCCTCTGCTGACGCAACAGCAAAGGCCACAGCAGAAAGAGATGTTCTTCCGATTAAGATTTTGCCTCTGCTGCCCCCACGCTTTCTCCCCACGGGACCGTCTTATACCAAAGAAGAGCTACGCCTGATGAAAACCTAGGGGGCAAAAAGGGATGACCAGCACTGGGATCGCCTCGGGGATGGACGCATCTTCATGCCAGGAGCTATAGGAGGGACCTGGTTCCTGCAAGTCCACAGCCCTACACGTCTAGGGGCAACCAAGTTGTCTGAACTAGCCCAAAGGGACTATTTTATCCCAAACCTTAATAAAACCGTGAAAAGCCTAGTAGACCGATGCAAAGCCTGTGCTCAGACTAACCCATCTCCCAAGTTTAATTTTTCGGGGCAGAGACGACGCGGACAGATGCCTGGAAAAATACGGGAACTTGACTTCACTGAGATGAAACAGGGACTCTATGGCTATCATTATCTCCTCGTTCTAGTGGGCACCTTCTCTGGATGGGTAGAGGCTTTACCCACGACAACAGAGTCAGCTCAGAGAGTGGCTAAGAAATTACTCAGTGAATTGGTTCCCCGGTGTGGCATCCCTATTGGTCTGGGGTCAGATAATGGCCCAGATACCTAAAATGTTGGCCAAAAGCTTACAAATAAATTGGAAATTACGTTGTGCCTACCACCCCCGAAGTTCAGGGCAGGTAGAAAGAACGAATAGAACTCTAAAAGAAACCTTGACTGAATTAATTCCAGAAACTTGCGAAAACTGGGTAGGCCTCCTTCCTGTTGCCCTCCTCAGAGGGCGCTGTATACCTTACGTAAGAAGGGCATCCCCCCCTCCCCCACTGCCTCGAAATCCTATTTGGAAGACCACTTCCCTTGCTTCCAAAACTGGGAGACGAACAATGGGCGGAAATCTCAAACCAACACCTAGGTTTCGTTCCCCAGTCTCGATTTATGAGGGAACCCGTTTCTATCATCCTAGTGCCCCTCTTTGTAGGACCGGGGGTTGCAGGATTCATTGGTGTAAGTACTGCCGCTCTCATCACAGGGGATCAGAACTTCAAATTACTAAGCAAACAAATTGATCAGGATATATCAGAATTAGAAAGGAATATCGATAAACTGTCTGAATCCGTAAACTCTTTAGCCGAGGTGGTACTTCGGAATTGGGGGGGCTTAGACCTGTTATTGTTACAACAAGGAGGGCTTTGGATGGCTCTTGGGGAACAAAGCTGTTTTTATGTCAATAATTCAGGAATCGTCAAGCAGAGCTTGAGTCAGGTCAGACAACGACTAGAGGAAAGAGAAAGGCAAAGACGAATTAGTCAAAATTGGTATGAGCCTATATTCTCCTGGTCCCCTTGGCTAACGACTCTCCTAAGTGCCCTTGCGGGACCCCTTATCTTTCTCTTTCTAGCTATGACTATAGGTCCCTGTTGATAAAACTACTACTCCAGTTCATAAATAGAAAAACAGGATCTATGAAGCTTATGGTGTTACGTAGCCCATACGTCCCACTGGCCCAAATGCCAGCATAAGGTGATTCAAAGATTCGAATAACTGGCAAACAGGAGTGGGGAGTGTAGGGGGCAGGAGAGCCCTCCCTGGGGCCCTGGCCTCTGCCATCCCCCCCGCTAGAGCTGCATCCAGTGAACACACTTCAAAGGGGCGGGGGCGGGGGCGGGGGTGGGGCAGGAAGGTATCGGCGGTCCTGCTTCATGGCTCACGGGCTGGAGCTGGAGGCCATCAGCCACATCAGATGAGGGACATCCGTCCTAGCCCTGCTCCTGCTTATCCACAGACAGTGTCCCCCGCGCTTCCTGTGCTCCCTCTCCTGCCTGGCCAAGCACATCCTGGGGGGCCCTCTCCTGTTAGTCTGGGCCGGGAGCAGCCTGGGGCTCAGATTGGCCGGTCCTCAGCCTCCTCGGGGTCCCCCGCTGCCCCCGCTGTGTCGATGCCCCCCCACTCCCCTCCCGGTCTCAGGCGTGCCTGCCAGCCCTGGGCCGCCCGTCCTAGCTTGACCTTTCCACACCTGCCTGACTCTAAACTGACAGCCTTTGTGGGAGGGCAGTGTCCTGGGTCCAAGGTGGCCGGTCCCCCTGGGGGGTGGGACCTCCCCTTCGGCTGACCAAGCCTGGGGCCATTCCAGGGTGGGCTTTTCTGGCCCCGAAGCTGGGAAGGGTCCCTCCTACCGGCCAAGAACCAGGATGCAGCCTCAGACCCCTCCTGGCCACGTGGCACTGTCCCTCTGCTTTGTCGCCAGTACACATGGGGAAACCGAGGCAGCGCAACTTGCCCTGAGTCACACAGCTGGTGGGGCCGGGGCTGCTGTTCACGAAGCCGTCATCTGGGATAAACTGAAGTTGGGGGGGGGGGGTCCAGATGGGGAGGAGGTGGGGCTGGGTCCCACCACCCTGGCTCGTGTCCTGGCTCGTGTCCTGGTCAGTGTCAGCAAGACAGGGCCGCTCTCGGGCCGGCCTTCTGCGCTCCGGGTCTTACCTGGCTGTGCACCGAGGCCGGAGTGAGTCCGGTGGGGGACGGGCGCGGGGCCTGGCCTGGTTCCTGTCATGGTGACAGAGGACACAGGCCATAGGAAGGTGTCTGCAGAGGTCCCCGAGCCTCGGCCCCCACCCCTGAATCTCCCATGAGTCCTCCCCCTCACCATTACTCTGTGCCTCCTCCCTGGAGACCTCCGCGGGGAGAGGGACCCCTCATTCATTTCCCCACCTGGAGGGCAGGGCCCCCATCGGCTCGGTGCTGCGCCAGCTAGATGTACCCGGTCGTCAGGACGTTTCCTCGCTGTCCCAAGGCTGATCTGAAAGAGCCAGAAAGAGAAAGCTGTTCTGAGCCCGTGGGGCCTGGGCCCGGCATGCCCCTCGGGCTTGGGGCTGTGGTACCGAGCCGCCCCATGGGGGTGGGGGGCCTCCTACCCCCTCCTCTCGGGGACCCCAGGCAGGCCCACCGTGGGGCCGTGGGTGTCACAGGGCCTGGACCGCGCTCCAGGTGCGTGGTGTCCCCGGGAGCTTGCACAACACCCTCCCGATATAAACCCAGGTGCTGGGGCAGAAGAGGCTCCGTGAGCGGCGATGGACGCGGGGCTGCTGAGTGTCATCCTGGGCACTGTCCTAGTGCGGGTGGAGACGGCTACGCAGGACCTCAATCTACACAAGGTGGCTCTTCTGTCTTACGTGGACAGGTCGGGCAGGGAGGGGCCTGTGTGTCCACTCCGCCGGCCCCGCCTCTGTCCCTCCAGCCCCCAGCCGACGCCACAGCAGCCACCCCAGGGGCCCCGGGGCCCACCCAAGTTGCTGAGGGCATGAGCCTCTCTTGGAGACGGGGTGTGAGAGCAAGGACCCAGGGACCGGCAGGGCCAGAGCCTTCCCTGAGCGTTTCCTGTGGGCAGGCCGGCTGGCCCTGCGGGGTCTCCAGGGACCGGGGCTCAGCGTGGTCACCTCCTGCTCCCAGATCGGTGGGGTCGCCCCCACCCTCCATGGCGCCACACCCCGTGGCGCCCGGAAGAGGCTTTCCCAGCGTGGGTCCTTTGGTTCCCGTCTAGATGCTTCTTCGCCAGTCTGTGTTGGCTGCTGAGTCAGGAGCACACCAGAAGGCACAGAGATGACAGACGTTGGGGACACGAATTCTTTTCTCTTGCAAAACGATCAATTTCTGAGTTTCAGATGGAAGTTCTGGGCTCTGGGCGGGTGTCCGAAGGCAGAAGTCCCCTCCCCCAGCTGTGCCCTTCCTGCGGGGGACGGTTGCTGGCTGCCCCCTCCTGTCTTTCGGGCTCCAGCCACCGCTGCCCCTGGCGTCCTGGCCCCAAGGACAGGGCATCGCCGTCTGATGGGCCGGAGGGGCTTGTCAGGAGGGTGGTGACCGTCGCTTTGCCACAAGGGCTTGTTGACCTTTCAGACCTGCCCAGGTGGTGTGGGCCTGCTCCCTGACCCTGACCCTGACCCTGACCCTGCCCAGGTGGTGTGGGCTCTGCTCCCTTGGACGGGGCTCCGGCTTCTCTGTCTAGATTGTAGGATTTTGGCAATAAAACCTGGCGCTAAAGATCCCAAAGAGGCTGGAGGCCTTGTTCCTGACCTTGAGTGGAGATGAGCTGACGGGGAAGGCTGCGTACGACAGGTGAGGGGCCCCAGGGGGCTCCCGGGAGCTCCGGCAGGAACAGGCACGTGAGGCCAGCCCCAGGCTGCACCGGCTGTAGCTGCGGGAGCCGGACGGTGTCCCTTTGGTGGACCGGTCCCCGCTGTGTCCAAAACACCAGACCCTGACCCGCTTCCCCAGCCCCGCACCCCGGGCTCCCACAGCTGCCACACGTCGATCTGCTCCTAGACCTGAAGATAAGCGTAGAGTTTTGAAAAAACCCCATTAACTGAAAAGAGAGAAAACAGTGCTGGGGTTCCTGGAGGTCACAGACCCGGGGGGGCAGAGGCTGGCGGGGCCCTGGCTCCGCCCCTCTGCCACCCTCAGCCTGCCCCAGGCCCTCCTGGGTGTGGATCCGCTGCTGGAGCCCTTTGTGAAGACGCGTTCCCCTCTCCGCACCCCTGTGACGGGCCCGGCAGAAGGAACGCAGGCTGGCCTTTCCCTCATGGGCCCTTTGCTCCCTTCCAGCTCAGGAAGTTGTGAGACAGAAAACATAGTGGGCTCAGAAATAGATGTTTTGGGGAGATCCTGCTTTTCCTGGTAAGAAACGCTGTCCTGTTGTCACAGTTACCACCCCCTGGCCCTGCACGCCAGCTCTCCTCGGCCTTGCCGTTTCCTGCGCTGTTCCTCATGCTGTTCCCTGCGCTCCTCCTCGTGCCCCAGACTCTCCCGTTCTCTCAGCACAAACTGGGCCATCGTTCAAGGCCTGGGTCCCCCCGGCCCTCTGCCTGGTGTTACTGGAGGGTCTGGTGCTGGGCGGGGACAGGATGGAGTCAGACCCTGCCCAGCCCGGTGCACGCGGGCTCTCCTTCCCCCGCCCCCCCAGGCCACAGGGAGACCCACGTGATAGACACGGACTACGAGCAGGATGCCATTCGGAGGGTGTCCCTGCACTGGCAGGGCCAGGATTTCCACGTGCTCAAATACTTTAGTAAGCGCACCCCGCGGTGGGGGCTGGCCTCCCTCCTGCGTCCCGGGGACGGCCCAGCCCAGCCCCCTGGTGTCCCCACAGCTCGGAGCCTCGAGGACAAGTACGGACCAGGCTTCTGGAGGTTCCGGGAGTTGACAGCTGATGTAGGGCTGTACCTGGTGGCCCGGCACGGTGAGCCCCAGGCCTTCCGGGCGGGGGTTGGGCTGGGGACCCCGAGGGTGGGGTCCGGGGGCCAGTCCCACAGCACCTCACGCTCCCCTGTCCCGCAGGGAGGTGTGCCAAACTCCTGAAGGAGGTGAGCCTCGCCCCCCGCTGCGCCGAGCCCCCAGGCTGAGTCTCCCGGCCTGACAGGGGCCCTGAGTCACTCTTGATCCAGGCTGCCAGATGGGGACCCTGGAGGCTGGGGGACTGAGGACAGGGCTGGGAGACGGAAGGGGAGAGGCGGAGCCCGTACGTCCCACCCGGCTGGGGACACAGACCCCGTGTCTCAGGTTCCCACTGTGCTGGCCCATCCCCTGCCTGAGCCCCTAGAGGTGGGGACTATCACCCTGCTTTGCAGGTAGAGAAACTGAGGCCCAGGGAGGCTGCTCACAGTCATGTAGCTAAGACACGGGCTCCCACCTGTGGCCCCAACCACTGCCCTGAGGCCCTGCCCTTCTGTGTCTCAGGAGCTGATCTAGAGGATCCCCTGACCCCAGGCCAGCATGGTCCGAGCCCCCGCCCGCCTGGCCTGACCTGGCCCCAGGAGGCGGCTCGCACCCGCTCCGAATAAACCCCATGCCAAACCCACTGCCCTGAGTGTCTTTCTTGGGGAGGCGGGCCCGGGGGGGTGACAGGTGGGTGCAGTGGGTGTGTGTCCCATGACTTCCCTGAAGCAGCAGCAAAGCTAAGTGTTGCGTGTTTGTTCACCGTGAACGGTGGTGCGTGTGAACCACTCAGGTCCCGTCCCTGGCTGGACCTTTGCCCAGACGCGCTGGGCTGGGGGGCCGCCTCTGGGCAGGCTGGCTCCCCGTCCGTTCCGTGTTTCCTTCCCTGTGGGGCCCGGGGCCCACACAGCTCAGAGGCAGGGTGACAGCCCCCGGAACCTCCCCCCTTCCCGCCCTGAGGCTCTCACCCGGCCCTGCCCTGCTCGGGGCCCACGAGCCAGGCTGCCCGGGTGTGTGGGCCCCGCAACAATCCTCCCACCACCGTCCCGCTCCCAGAGAGCCTGAGCGGCCCCGAGCCGGGCATCCTTGAGCTGAGCTGCTGGTTGAGTCTCTCAGATGAAAGGGGACCACACTGCATTTCTGCCTACATTCTCCCATGGCTCCCTCTTGCCCGAAAGTCAGATCCCACAGGCATGCAGTCCAAAGTCCTCCAGTCAAGGCCGCTCTTCTGTCCACCCGCTGGCTTCCTCCCACCCTCCCCTGCGTGGTCAGCTCAGCCCTTTCAGTGTCCGGGTCCCCTCATGCACCCTGTCACCCCATGTCCTACACTGACTGATCGCCCCACTTCCGTTCCATCAGCTGGGGCTGAGACCACAGGGCAGACAGGGTGTCCTGGTCAGGGCAGAGAAAGTGGGGAAGGTCTCAGCCTAGGATGACCAGGCTCACAGGGAGCAGCTGCCTCACGGGTGAGGACAAGCAGTGCTGGGGGGCTGGTGGGGACCGGCCCAGCCCCAGCAGAAACCGCCCCCGCTCAGGCGTCCAGCACCCTCCACCAAGGCCTGCCTGGAGGGAGGCCTGCCCGAGGCGGGGGCCTGCCCGGGACCTGCCGGACCGAATCCCGAGCCAGGCTCCCGAAAGACCCATGTTGCTCGAAGTTGCCCCTGACAGGTCAGAGGGGACAACTGGGACTTTCCACGCATCTGTCCGCCCGAAGCTCGCAGTGCTAGGTGGTCCGCGTGCCGGTGGGCTCACCGGCTCCGGCAGCCGCCACAAGCTCCACGGGCCTGGAGGGGGGGCGGCGGGGCTCGGGGAGCAATGCGACACCAAGAGTTTATGTCTCACACATCTGGAAGTTGGAAGCCCGAGACCCGGGTGCTGATGGGTTGGTCCCTGCTGAGAGCCCTCTTCCGGCCTGGAGCCCGCGGGCTTCCGGCTGTGCCCTCGCCAGGCCCCTGCCCCACACACCCCGGAGAGACCTCTGTGTCTTGCCTCCCTCCTCTCAGAAGGGCGCCAGTCCTACCCTCACGACCTCCCTCCACCCCGTCACCCCCTCAGAGGCCCCGTCTCCAGGCACAGCCACAGTGAGGATTAAGGCTTCAACAGTTGCATTTCTGGAGACACAATTCAGTCCCTAACGAAAGCCAGCGGGATTCAGAGGCTGACTCTGGGTCCAGGGCCTCCGCACTGCGTCCTAAGTGCACGCGCTGCTGGACGTACGAGGAAACAGAAAAGGACGGGCTGAGCTGCACACAATGAACAGGAGCGCTGCTAAAAGGTGACCCGGGGGTGCCTGGGCGGCTCGGTTGGTTGAGCATCTGACCGGCTCAAGTCATGATCTCACAGTTCATGAGTTCAAGCCCCGCATTGGGCTCTGTGCTTCCGATTCTGTGTCTCCCTCTCTCCCTGTCCCTTCCCTGTTCACGCTCTGTCTCTGTCTCAAAAATGAATAAACATTAAAAAGAATAAAATCAAAAGTGAGCCGGAGAAGATCCGTGGGCGGAGCGAGAAGACAGGTGGAGAGCGGCCTGGTACGGACACAAAGGGACGAAAGGAAGGCAGGCTCAAGGGACTAACTTGCCGACGAGACGGCAGAATTAAACAGCTGGCTAACGAACCCAGAACGAGTGAGCCAATGGGGCCGGGGGGCAGCGTGACGGGGGCCATCAGGAGAGTCAAGCGGGGACGCCAGCGCCGCGTGGCACAGCAGCCGAGACGGAAGCTTACCAGGACGGGCGTAGAGGACCGCAGGGGACACGAGCCAGTGGCCGTGAGCCCGGGACACGCCGGCACAGGCTGTCCAAGCTGAGGAGCAGAGAATGACCGCCAGCGGCCGGGGTCGGGCGTGTGAAGTACTCCCAGGAAGAGAAGGGAGCGAAAATTGGGCAGAAAAAGATTTGAAGAAATAGAGGCGAAGACATGCCCACTTGACCGAACACGTCCCGGGCGCAGGGAAGCCAGAGCAGGATGAAAGAAACCACCCCCAGGGATATCGTGCTCAAGTGGACGCAGCGGCTTGGGGACGACGTTCACGGAGCCGCAGAGGAAAGGCGCTTCGCAGCCAGAGGCCGTGACAGCTGGCTTCTTGTGGCGCGGGACGCAGGCACATCTCTGAAACCAACTCGGAGTTCTGGGAAAGAAAGCTATGCTTTTTAAGTGTATTTTTAAAATCTATGTATTTATTCTTGGGGTGGGGGGCACGAGCAGGGGAGGGGCGGAAAGAGAGGGAGGGAGAGAACCCCAAGCTGACTCAGGGCAGAGCCTGACGCGGGGTGCAAACCCACGAACTGTGACATCCTGACCTGAGCCGAAATCACGAGTCGGATGCTTAGCCGACTGAGCCCCCGGGGACCCCAATAAAGCTACGCTTAGAGAAATCAACGTGGAGAGAATTTGTCCCTGGTTTACCTGCGGCACAATAAGTTACTGCTAGCGTGTTCCTCAGGCAGAGGGAAATTGCAGGCGACGCCCCCCGAGGTCCGCAGGGAGGACGGCGGCGCAGGGGATGCCGGGAGAGCGCGCTCAGCGGGGACAGAGGGTCAGTGACCTCCCGTGATCGCAAGACTTCTCTTCTCCACCACGTGTTTCTTGCCTGTCAGTCCGGACCCAGGAACGCTCCCTTCTTTCCTCTAGAGGCGCAAGCCCGTCCAGATCTGTCCAGTGGGGGCTCCCCCCGGACAGCCGCTGAGTCCTTTTGACACACTTCCCTGATTCCTCAAACACGTGTTTACTGGAAACACTCCGAGTCCTTTCCTGTTGTCTGTGACCCCACCCTGGAGTGATCCCCCCACGGAGCCAGCTCCTTCTGGCAGAGAGTGGTGTTGAGAAAGCAAGACCCGAGAGCCAGGTGCCCCCCGCTCCCTCCTCACTGGGCTGGCATGGGCTTGGCCTCGGCAGAGAGATGCCCCCCGCTTTCCAACCCTGAGAAGACCGCCGCCCTCTGACGCATCCCGGAGCGCACAGAAAGCCGTTTTGGGGTCGCTCCCCCAAACCGCCGCGAAGGACGAGCCTCAGAAAATCCAGAACTCAGGGTTTGTTTGGGGTTCCTTTACTCTTCAGCCTGAGAAGATACAGAAAAAAAATCAGGGCTGATTCCGCTGACCCCATTCGGGTGTTACGTCATTCGTCTATTATACAGTTTGACTCCTTTTAAAAAGTTTTAAATGTTTGTTTATTTTTGACAGAGAGAGACAGATGGAGTGCGAGATGGGGAGGGGCAGAGAGAGAGAGGGAGACTCGGAATCTGCAGCCGGCTCCAGGCTCCGAGCTGTCAGCACAGAGCCCGATGCGGGGCTCGGACTTGTGAACCCCAATATGATGACCTGAGCCGAAGCTGGACGCTCAACTGACGGAGCCTCCCAGGCGCCCCTGTGCAGTTGAATCCCACTCGTTTACTTTTGATGCAATAGGTTACCCAGATCCCAAAGTCAAAGCGACACCAAGGAGGCACGCAGGGGGAGGGGGGTGTAACTTCCTCCCCGGCCCTACCTACCCTACCTGCCCCTGGGGGGGGGGGGCACACTCCTTAGACTCCGATTTCTCCGTTCTGGGTTTCTTCTGGGAGAAGGAGGCAGACACACACACGTTCTGAGTCTCACCCGCCTGCTTCACGTGCCCTTCGGCACTTTGTTCTTTCGCTTGACGGTACACCCGCGTGTCACGTCACCCGACACCAGTCCACGGAGCCTTCCCACTGCGTGCGTCGCCGCGTAGGGCTCCGCTGCAGGCACACCGTCTTGGTGCCAACCAAGCTCCCGTGCGTGGCCATTTAGGTGGCTACCAATGGCGTTCCGTTAGAAACGGTGCTTCGGTGAGTGAGCACCGCGCACATCCATTTTTTGTGTCGTGGCAGGTGATTCTTCAGGGTAAGTTCCTGAGCGGGCTTCTAGATCAGAAGATAAATGGGTTTTGTTAGACGTCGCCATGTTTCCCTGTATAGGAATTGTACCCCTTTGCGGTCTGAAGAGCCAAACGTGGCTTGCTCGGGGCCCCACGGCCTGGCCAGGGAGCGTGTGGTGTGGCCGAGCTCTTCGACTTTTCGCCGGGTGATAGGCGATAACCAGTTATCGGTGTTGTTTTAATTTGCGCGTCTCCGACGGTGAATGAAAATGGAGACCTTGGGGCGCCTGGGTGGCGCAGTCAGTTAAGCGTCCGACTTCAGCCAGGTCACGATCTCGCGGTCCGTGAGTTCGAGCCCCGCGTCAGGCTCTGGGCTGATGGCTCAGAGCCTGGAGCCTGTTTCCGATTCTGTGTCTCCCTCTCTCTCTGCCCCTCCCCCGTTCATGCTCTGTCTCTCTCTGTCCCAAAAATAAATAAACGTTGAAAAAAAAAAATCATTAAAAAAAAAAAAAATGGAGACCGTCTCCATTCATCGGGGCTGCCCTCACGAAGGACCACAGCCCTAAACGTCAGAGGTGGATTCTGTCCCAGCTCTGGAGGCTGGAGTTTGGAACCCAGATGGCTGGGTTGTGTCCTCCTGAGGCCTCTCTCACGGCCATCTCCTACCCGTGTCCCCACATGGTCTCCCCTGTGTGTGTGTCTGTGTCTTAATCTCTTCTCATAAGGACCCCAGTTATGTTTAACCTGTATGACCTCGTTTTGATTTAATCCCTCTTCAAAGGCTCCATCTCTAAATAGTGCTGCATTCTGAGGTGTTGGGGTCAGGACTTAAGCAGAGAAATTTGGGGGGGACACAATTCATAGCAAACATCTTTTTGTATGTTTAGGCATCACTTTAATTTTTTTTGCATGAATTATCTGGTTGTGTCATTCATTTTTCTGATGAGTTTTTGGCCCTTTTTTCTTTAATTTTTAACTATTTTTTTGAGAGAGAGAGAGAGAGAGAGAGAGAGAGAGAGTGATTGGGGGAGGGGCAGAGAGACAGAGAGGGAGAGACAGAGTCTCAAGCAGGCTCCACGCTGCCAGTGCAGAGCCCAATGTGGGGCTTGAACTCAGGAACTGTGAGATCCTGACCTGAGGCAAAGTCGGACACTTAACTGACTGAGCCACTCAGGTGCCCTTTTTCTTAAATTTTTAAAAGTTCCTTATAGAGCATGGCTATTAGCCCTTGCATGTGATATATGTTGGAAATACTTTCTCCAGGTCTGTCATTCATCTTTTGACTTTGTGGCTTCTTTTGGCTATAAAGAAGTTTAAAAAATACAGACAGGTTATTTATCAATACTTTTTTTTTTTTTTATCGCATCTGGATGTTGATGCAAGTTAGTGTGGCCTGTGGGTTTGTAATGGCCTGATTTGCCTCGGCTGCACGGTATTTCCCAGAATTCCCAGAAGGCGACGGCCTTACAGGGCTTATGGAATGAGCTCCCACAGCGACATGGGGTCAAACTCCTGCCCCAAATCCCTTATTTGTGAATTTATATGCCTCCTGGTGGTTCTGCTTTCAGGAGTGAACTGATGCAATTAGAAAGCCTTTTCCTACATCCATGTGATAGGGAAATTCACCAATGATTTCATTCATTACTCGTGTGGTTCTATTTCCACATTTAGTATCAGATCGTTGATCCATTTGGTGTTTACTCTCGTGCATGAGGTGAATATGTTTCATTTTAATCTTCTTCCAGATGGAAATCCAGTTGCCCTGACAGCATTGATTTACAAACACTGATTTTTTCCTGGGATTTAAGACATCTCCTTTGCAGCACAACCTGTTCAATTTGGCTCAGGAGAGCCTACTGTATATATTTTTTCTCCAAATCTGCATTCCATAAGATCATTTCGGGCTACCCAGATGTCTTTTTATCTCTACCATGTTTTATGGTTTCCAGCTACATTACGAGAATTTAAAGAACACAGCGTAACGTCCAATGTGGCTCTTACCTTGTTAAGCCAGGTGTTCGTAGCCGTTCTCACAATCTGTGTGGTTCCAATGTGTGTCGGCCCCTGGCATTCCTGTCGGCATCCTGACCCCCAACGTGATGGTGCTGGGAGGTGGGCTTTTGGAAGGTGACAAGGCCATGGGGGTGGAGTGCCCATGAGGGGAATCGGCGCAGCCGGAGCCCCCCACGTCCCCCCGCCGTGAAGACAACGAGACGCCCTTGTCCATCCTGCAGGCACAGGCACAGCTGACTGCAACACCCGGTGTCCAGAACTGGGAGAAATCAGTGACTGTTGCCCGTAAGCCGCCCGGTGTGTGCTTTTGTGATGCCAGCCCCAGGGCACTAAGGGAGGCCGCCTGGGGTCCCAATGCAGGAAGCGTCCGTGGGGCTTCTGTTACCTCTTTCTTCTGCTGTGTTTCTCTCCGTTCACCTTAGTCTCCCTGAATGTTTTGTCAGGAATCTCCATGCGAAAAAACAGCAAATAGGATTACTCTGAAGCGTAGGGTGATATTTTTGTCCTTGTGTGTCATCTCCGGCTGCGAGGTGTCAGAGAAGCTGGCAGTCAGGGGCCCTCCTCAGCCACGTTCGAGGCCCGAGGCTCCCCGGGCTCCGGGGCAGTGGGAGCTTAGCTGCACGTTTGTGCCGGGGCTGGCTGGTTTACCTGTGTCCACCTTCCCCACGGGGCTCACCAAGGGCCGGGTGGTGGCTCATCAGGGTCAGTCCTTAGACCTGGCAAGACACGTGGCTTTATCTTTCCTTCACCTTCCGCAACTCGCTTGGTGTTAGAACCCTTGGAAGCTGACTGGCAAAGCCATTGGAAATGTAGTGTGCCCATTCCACTCCCACCCCCGGGGGATCCTGCCGGCCGCCTCCCCTTGGATTTCAGGGTCTCAGACAGATCCAGCCAAGCCCTCTGCCCTCTGCTCCCAGGTAGGGGCTCAGATGATCCGGAGGTGAGAAACCCAGGCCCACAGAGAACTCTCACGGAAACTTGGGGGATGTGCAGCTCCTGGCCCGGGTCATGGAGTACAGAGGTGGGGGGCAGCAGGCCAAGTCTGGCCAGAGAGTGGGCGAGTCCAGACAGGTGGAGTGGAGGGGCAGAAGGAACAGGACGTTCCAGGCTGGCTGCTGACTGTGTGTGGGGGCAGGAGGCCAAGGCCAGCAGACCAGAATAACGGGTGGTCAGGAGGGAGTGGGAGCTTTTTTTTTTTTTTCCTATTTTTAATGATTGAGACAAAAGATCTGAAGTGCAGCTTCTAGAAGAACTGTTTGTGCCTTCCTTCCCTTGGTCTTGACTTTGGCCTGCTGCCAGCCACGGTTAAAGACCAGGGTCTCTGGCCTTCCCAGACTGAGCAAGGGAGAGCGTTGAATCCCCAGTGGTGTCAGTGGTTTGACCGGGGTTAGGATGCCCATTCTGGAACCGCCCAACAGAAGGAAGCAGACAGAAGCAGGGGTCGGCACGGCAGTGTTGACGCTCCCCGGGGCCCAATCCCCCTTCTCCAGCGCATCGGGGCAGGGCACAGGGGCCACCACTGAATAATAATGCCACCCCCTCGGGAAATGTCACCACCTTGCAAGGAGACAGGCCAGCGTGGTGTCTCGGTGGTCAGTGGCCGCCCACAGTGACCCACGCAGAGACGTTTGAACGGGTTTACGCTGGCCGGAGGGACTGCGCAGCCCCGGGCCCCACGGCAGGTGTGCCGGTGCACAGACTTCCAGAAGATGGGGAGCGTCCTGCTCACTGCTCTTCTGACATCGGTCTCAGTGCCTTGCGCCCAGGCTGTGTGGCTGGGAAGGCTGGACCCGAGGCAGGTAACGGCCTGTCCATTGGTGCCAGCGCTGGCCTCGAGCCCCGTCGGTCCTAGGGGCCCAGGCCCCTCCTGTGGGGCCACAGTCTCTGGGTTACCTTCCCGGTGCCGGCCCAGACCGGCACCGGCTACGGGGGGACGGGTCAGCCTGAGTCAGGGGCCCTGGACTCCCAGACGAAGAGGACGCCTCAAGGGACTGGGGGACCGGGCCCCCCTCAACTGCTCCTCTCCTCCCAGCTTCTGGGGTCCTGGTACGTTCTTGCCGTGGCCTCCGGTGAGAAGGGCTTTGCGGTGGAGAAGGCCACGAAGAACATCGAGGGTGTCGTGGTGACCCTTACTGCAGAAAACAGTCTGAAGATGCTGTCCTCCAGGCACAGGTGAGCGAGCTGTGCGCTGTGGGCTTGTGTCCCCGGAGAGCAGGTCTGGCGGGCCTCTGGGTGGGATCACGGTGGATGCGGGAGGCCTCTCGGGGCAAGGCCCCCCCTCAGCTGCCGCCTAAGCTGGGCTCGCGCGTGGAGTCTCGGAGCCGCTGGTAACCTTCCTCCCACACCCGCGTCTGCCTTCGGGAGCCGTGGGGCCCTGGGTCCCGCTGGGACGGGCCTGGCCGTGGGACGAGCAAGGACAGAGGAGGTCTGGGGTCTGATGGCGGCCCCGCTATGTTGGCCCCGCGAGCACACACGGTCACACGCGCCACGGTGTGGGCCACAAGCCGCGTGGCTGGCTGTGTCCCGGTGAGGCTGGCGGAATCAGACACCCAAATCCAGAAGCCAGGCGTCTGGAGAGCTTCAGGCTCTGTGAAAAGCCGCCGGTGACCTAAGGGCCACGCGGGTGGACGTAAGGGCCACGGGGGTGGCCGTGGGGCTGGGATGCCATTCCGGTGTCCGCTCTCTGGTGTGACTGATTAGCAGCCCCTCCTGGTGCTGTGTCACCTGCACCTCTGGGGACCGCGGCCAGATGCTGGTTTGGAAAGACGGATGGTGCCGAGCCCCGCTCCCCACCAGGACCGCAAGTGGGCCCTATTACATTGAATTGAATTGAGTTGAGTTGCATTGAATTAATCTGTTGGCCTTTGGATAGGAAGTGCATTTGCATGGCTCAGAAGTCAGAGTCCCCAAAGGTACGCAGAGCGGGTCCTTCCCACCTGCCCAGCCAGCCTGTCCCCTCCCTGCAGGTGACCCATGCTTGTGATTCGTGGCGGCTCCTCCGACATGGGTGGCCACACGCCAGCACACGGGTGTCACTGAGCCACGCACGCCAGGAACCTCTCCGTATCCATCCACACAGGCTCTGCTCTCTCTTAGAACATTTCCCATTTTATTCTCTTCTGTCTTTATTGAGTTGTTAAAAATTGTGGTAAGATAAATGCAGCACAGAGACGGCCATCTTAATCACTTTCAAGGACACAGTTCGGGGGCGTCAGGCGCATTCACACTGTCGTGCAGCCATCTCCCCGTCTGTCCCCAGAATGTGTTCATCTTCCCAGTGGACTCTGTCCCGTTGTGTGTGGACCCTCCCTTCCCCCAGCCCCACCCTCCTACTCCTCCAGGGCCTCCGGTGAGCGTCCACTCCTACAGGATGTGTCCCCCTGTGACGGGCTGACCTCAGCACGGTGTCCTCCAGCTTCGTCCACGTGGTAGCAGGTGTTGGGATTCCCCTCCCTTTTGAGGCTGACGTTCCGTGGTGTGGCCGGAGCACGTGGCAGCTCCCGCCTCTTGGTTTTGTAAATCACGCTGCCGTGAACGTGGGTGTGTAAGTCTCCCTTCAGATCCTGCTTTCAGTTCTGGGCGCTCGCAGCGGCGGGACTGCGGGGTCACACGCTGATTCCATGTCACATTTTCGGAGGCGCTCTGCTCTGTTTTTTTTTTTTTTAAATATATGAAACTTATTGTCAAATTGGTTTCCATACAACACCCAGTGCTCATCCCAAGATGTGCCCTCCTCGATACCCGTCATCCACCCTCACCTCCCTCCCACCCCCCATCAGCCCTCAGTTCTCAGTTTTTGAGGGTCTCTTATGCTTTGGCTCTCTCCCACTCTAACCTCTTTTTTTTTTTTCCTTCGCCTCCCCCATGGGTTCCTGTTAAGTTTCTGCTGTGTTTTACAGCTGCGTATTGGTCCGGGAGGCTTTGTGCCAGTGCCCTGCTGCTGGGCAGACGGGGGTCTCCAATCTTTTGCAGTTGGAAACACACTTTGGGGAGCGGGCTCAGGGGTCTACCCGAAGGATAAATCTCTCGGAGTCCCTGTGGCTCCACGCCATACGTGGCCGGTCCCCTGAACTGGCGCCTGCCCTGGGCATTCCCTTACTCTTTTTTCTTTGCATCTGATGGGCAACAGATGGCCCCGTGTCAACTTTTACATACCTTCTCTAAGGGCAGGGGCCAGGGGCATCCTGGGACATGTCAACGTGGTTTGTGTGCTTCCTCCCCAACACGGGGCTCAAACTCACAACCCTGAGATCAAGACCTGAGCCGAGATCAAGAGTCGGACGCTTAACCGAGCCACCCAGGCTCCCCTGGCTGTTCGTATCTTGGCATATTTTTCTGTTAGGTGTGTTTTTAGTGGTTTGTAAGAACCCTTCAGTTATTTGGAATCTTAGCCTCTCATCTGTGATAAAAATTAGTTGCAAATATAGTTCCCAGTTTGTAATTCCTCTTATAACATTGAGAAAGGTTTTTGTTTGTTTGTTTTATTTTTTTAATTTTAATTTTTTAAAGTTTATTTACTTATTTTGAGAGGGAGAGAAATTGTGAGTGAGGGAGGGTCAGAGAGAGAAAGAGGGAGAGAGAGAGAATCCCAAGTAGGTTCCATGCTGTCAGCACAGAGCCTGACACGGGGCTCGATCCCACAAACCATGAGATCATGACCTGAGGCTGAAATCTGGAGTCGGACCCTTAACCGCCTGAGCCCCCCAGGCACCCCAAGACCCCCTGCCTGTCTGTTGTGTCAGTTCACTTTAGGGACTGAGTGGCCCCTTGTGATGCTGGGGCTCCTCACCCAAAATTGCAGAGGGCCCAGCGTCTGTCTGAAGCTCATTTTGCGCCCTCGCGCCCCCACCACCCTGGGGAGGGAGCTGATCTGCACTTGGCTCTCGTGTAGCTCATTCCCGAGCCAGGCTGGATTCGCTGGAGAGCGAGGTTTCTGGGTAACGGAGGCCGTCAGAGAAAGCCAGGATCCCCTCTGTGACATGCTGGCGGCAGGCCGGGCCCCGGCGGCAGGGCCCTTGTGTCCTGTGGTCCCGACTCTGGACCCTGAGCTGAGGACGGACGGTCTCTTTTCCAGGCTGGAGAGGTGTGACGTGGGCACAGTGTTGCTGCGGAGACAGAACTCTGGATGGGTGTTTGAGAACCCCTGTAAGGCGACAGCCTCCACGGTGTCCCACAGGGTGCAGGGCAGCCTGGGGATGGGCTCGCTCGCCTGGCCAGCACTGCGGGAAGGGGAGGGGATCGGTCACCCCAGACTCCCTCTGTGGTGTGCAGGGGGGTGGCCCTCTGCCCCCGTGGGGACAGGACTGGGGGAGTGTGACCCCGGATGAGCTGGGACAGGCCCTCGCCAGCTGGCCATCCGTCACCGGGGACCCGGGGACCACAGGGCTCTGGGGCTCTGAGCTTGCCGGGGGGCCTCTCGTGTCTCCCAGCCCTGGGCGTGTTAGACTACCGGGTACTGGGCACCAACTTCAGGGACTACGCCATCGTCTTCACCCAGCTGGAGTTCAAGGACGAGGCCTTCAGCACCGTGGAGCTCTACAGTGAGTGGCTGAGACCTCGGGCCCGCCCACAAACTCCCTGCCCGGCCGCAGTCACGCTGGCTGTGCGGGAAGCACATTGTCCCAGGGTCCGGGGCTAGAGAGAGGTGCCCGCCGCCCGGGCTGGCCCTGTGCCCCCAGGGACCCGGCGCCTCGCCATGGCCCTCTCTGCCTGGAGCCTCATCCCTGCGCTCCCCCCGCTACAGGAGGGGCGGCTGGGGCGTGGAGCACAGGTGTGAGGATCCCCTCCTGCTCCGCAGGCCGCACGGAGCTGGCCAGCCAGGAGGCTGTGCGCCTCCTCACCAGGTGGTGGTGGTTAGTTCTTCAAGGAGTCACCTGCTCCCTGGCCCAAGTCAGGCCGGCAGGGGAGGCCTCGTCTCGGGTGAGGTCGTGGGCCCATCCTCACGCCTCCTCTTGTCCCCCAGTCACCTGTGCGCACAAGGCCTTCCAGGTAAGCTGGCTTCCCGAGCATCACCCCGCGTCCTACACCCCAGTGCTCTGCAGCCGTGAAGGGCCAGGGACCCGGGTGGAGGCAGATGCCCCTCGGGGTGAACCTGGGTTCCCCCAGTGCTCTTCCTGGTTTTCAGTGAATGCTTCAGCCTCCAGCGGGGACAGTGCCCACCGTGTCCGGACCAGGCCGGCCAGGCGCTGGCAACCTGCTCAGCCACCTGGGTGCTGGGTGCTGGGTGCTGGGTGCTGCGCAGGTGCTCCCAGGGACTCTTGCTGCGTTTCCAAATAAAGCGATTCCACAAACCGCTAGAGTTGCCTCTCACTCGTGTGCTGGGCTGGGCTCGGTGTCGAGGGTGGACAGAGATGGACGGGGCCTCCCCTGCCGGCCTGACTTGTGGGGCGCGGGCCCCACAGGGAGAGGATAGGGTGCGGTGGGCACACCCCGGCTGAACCACATGGCACAGAGAGCCAGCTCGGGGGCGAGAGGACCGGTCTGCACTTGTGTCCCTCGGCAGAGTCCCTCTGGGTGGGGGGACCTGCACACACGGGTCTCGGCCGGGGAGCGGGGGCTGGGCCGGAGGCAGCCGCTCCCCGGGGAGGAGTCACACAGCCCCGGGCCGATGGGAGGGTCGTCTGCCCGAGTGAGAGCAGGCCTGCGGTTCGAGTTCGGACAGGGTGCTGGGCCGACGAGGTGGGCACTGGTGCCCACCGGGGTGCTGGGCTGGGGCACCACGGTGTCCGGGGCAGGGTTCTGGGGCAAGGGCAGGGGCCCAGGATTGCAGAGGCCTGGCCTGTGGGGCCTCCTGTGGTCTGGTGGGGCCCTGCCTGAGGTCCTGGCAGAAGCTGGGGTGGGGGCTGCCCATCCCTCACGGCGAGGGGCGGTGCACACCAGGAAGGGGGCAGGCGGGCACATACAGGAGAGTTGCACGCACACGCGCACGCACCCCATGTGCCTGTGCACACACACCGGCTGCCCCCTCTGTCAGCACCTGCTCAGGGCAGAACCCCGTCAGCACCTGCTCAGGGTGACCCTGCGGTCAGGTCCTGCTTCTCACACTCGGATAACCTTATGAAGTGACTCATAGTGACACCAGCTGGCTGTTGTCTCTCTTCCGGGGGTGGGGAGCTACTGTGAGAGGCCCAGGGCTCCCACTGTGAGGAGGGACGGCTCCAGGGGACACGTGGTGACCTGAGATCGGGGGGGGAGTGACCTCGGGAACACGATGGCTTTGTTTTCAGGGGCCTCCCAGGCAGGTGGCACCGACCAGGCTGAGCACCTGGGCCGGCCCTCTGTGGCCGGGACAAGAGAGGGCCCGAAGCCCCCCGGCCTCCCCATCGGCCCACCCCAGGCCGGCTCAAGGCTCCGGGTTGGTTGGACGGCCACGGCAGGGTCGGTGGGTGGGGAGATTTAAACTCAGTGCCCTGGTGGCCAAAGAGGGAGGCTGAAGATGGGACCGGGGAGGCTGGTGTCCACGCTGGTCCTGGCACTTGTGCTGGCCATGGGGTCCCGGCCACAGGAACAGCTGCCCAGGGAGGCCCACAGCCTCAACTGGAACAAGGTAAAGCCGTAGGCCTGCTGTCCCCCAAGCCAGGCACCCAGGCCGTGGGGGCCAGGGATCGTCCGTTTAGGAATCGCTCCCTAAAAATCTTCCAAGGGCCTTCCCGTGGCCCTGGGCAGTGCCCCGAGGCTGGCAGGAGTCTCCGGCACAGGCCCCTACCGGCCCAGTGGGACTGCCCCCCGGCCTCTCCCAGAGCAGCTGCCGGCCACGGGGGTGGGTAGGGCGCAGGGCCCCAGGCAGGTGCACCCAGAGATGCTAGGTGGGCAGAGGTGGAATCAGCAGGACGTGTTCTGGAACGGGGAGATGGCTGGCAGGTGGAACCCTCCAGCGGGGGTGGCTGGGGGCACAGGCTGAGCGGGCTGTGGCGGTGTCTGGGACGGTGGGTTTGCGGCAGGAAATCAGAGGGATGGGGCCCCCCCGGAGGCCCTGCACGGGAAGGAAGTTACAGCACACGGTTCCCAGCCCCCGCACCCCCAGACAGTCTGGCGTCTGCCCACCAGGGCCCCTAACCAGGGACGTGCAGGTCCGGGGGGGCTGGACGCGGGCTGGGTGTCTGGGAGGCATCCCTTGTCCGGTGGGTTCCGGGAGCCTGGCTGGGAGCCTGGGAAGGAGCGCCTTCCCCAGCAGCTCTGTACAGTTTTCAGGGTTCTGGTACATTCTGTCTGTCATCTCCGATGTCTTGCCTGGCAGACACACGAGGAAGCTGGGGGCATCCAGGGTGAAGTTTCACAAAGTGGACCAGCTGAAGGTGTCCTGGCTTTTAGCCGGTGAGTGGAGCAGGGCGGGGGGCCCAGCACAGCCTCCCCAGAGCCCTGGCCACGGCAGCCTGGGGCATCTTCCCGGCCGGGTGGGGGTGCCGGACCCGGATCACCGGGAAAGCCTACAGTGATGGTCCCCACAGCCTTGAAACCCATCACTTCCTGCCCCTAAAATTCAAAAGCCTGATTTGGGGAGAAGCCCCCACGCTACACGCGGTCACTCAACAGGCACTGGGTGTTCGAACTGTTTCCCTTAAGCTGTGGGACCGGTCCCGGTCCAAATTGGGAAATTCCAGAAACGGGCCCCCGCCTGTCCCCCTAGGTCACAGGGGTGCCAGTCACTCATGTTACTTCTTTGGAAAGATGGGAAGAAGGTGATGTTCAGGAACACACGTGCGAATGAGAGCCCAGGGCCGGGAGAGGGAGGCCCGGGGTGGCAGTGCCTCCCCCGCCCGCCGCTTCATCACCCAGACACGGGACAGGACACCTCTGCCAGCGCCGTCCCCAGCAGCCCCTCCGTCAAAGGGAACCTGGGAGCGGGGGCGGGATGGGCGCTCACCACTCGGGGCGGTCAGGCGGGCCGAGGCTCCGGGAGCGGGGGGCTCTCGACCCTTCCCACACGCCCCTGCCTAGCTTCTCTCCCGCCCGGTGAAGGGGGTGGAGGGTTTCCACGTGCTGTCCACCGACTACAGCTACGTCGTGGTCCACCTGCGCCTGGGCCCCGCCGGCCGGACCGCCAAGATGCTACTGTTCTTAAGGGAGTGACATCTGGGGGGGTGCAGGGGCAGGTAAGGGGGCGACGCAGGGACACAGGCTCAGAGGGAGGTCTCTGCCGCAGCTCGGGCTCCGCGACAGGGCGCCCACGACCGACACCGATCCTCACAGCTCAGGGCGCCGACCTGCTGGGGGTCGGGGTCTGCAGGCGGCCGCCGTCTCGCTGAGTCAGGTGTTGGGGAGGGGGCTCCGGTCCCTTCCTCTTCTTACCGGGGCACCGATCCTGTCACGAGGACCCCAGCTAACCCTGCGCACCGCCCGAGGCCCCGACCCCGCGCACCATCGCGCTGGGGCTTTGGTGTATGAATCTGGAAGGACGCGGGCAGTCCATACCATGGGTCGCAGCCCTTGCAGGGCTGGCTGGCAGCAGGTGACAGGTGGGTGGGCGGAGCCTGGAGACCACGCGAGCAGGTCTCTGAGTTGGCTGCTGCAGGGGTGAGTGGGGGAGGCCAGTGCAGGGGGGGAGGCCGGAGGAGGAGAGGCCAGGAGTGGGGCTGACCATCCACGGGAGGCTCAGGCCCTGGTGCTGAGGGCAGGATGGGGGAGCTGGGGGCGGGGGGCAGGTGGAGGTGGTAAAGGGAAGGCAGGTGGGAAAGAGGTTCTGTGCTGGGCGGGGGTGGTAAGGAAGGGAGTGGGGTCGGGAAAGGACCCCCTCCAGGCACGGGGCACGCAGGGCACGCATGGGGGCGGGGGGGGGGGGGGGGGGCCGGACGGGGGCCCGGGGGGGTGGGGTGAGCAGACGGGGCTACCCGAGCCGGTCTCCACGGCCTCGCTGGGGACACCCGCCCGCCTCGGGGCACAGAGGGGAGAGAAGGACATTTCCCCATCACCTGTCTGCCGCCGCCTCCCGTGGCAGCGCCCTCGCGTCTCTGTCCTGCCAGGGCCTGGCGGTGTCTGTGGGGGTCGGGGTGCAGCCCACGCGGCCAAAACCGGCAACTGACGTGACTGTGCTTCCGGCCGCAGGCAGACAGAACACGTCCAGCTTCCCGAGCATGAAAAGATTCGTAGACACATGTGAGACTTTGGAGCTCGCCGATGGTGCGACCGTTCTTCCGAAAGACGGTGACGTGTGGTCGGGAGCCACCCCCCCCTCCCCGCCACTGTCCAGGTCCACACCATGCCTGGCCCGACCACCCTGTTAGGGTCAGCTAAGGGGGGGGCCGGGGGGGGGCAGAGAGAGGAGGGGTGACAGCGGTGTCTCTTCCAGGCCCCGTGGGCCCCCTCCACGGCCCTGCCCTGCGTCGGCACCAGGCTCGTCCTGCCGAAGGGCGTGGGCAGGGGGCACCGGGCAGCCCGTCCGGTCTGGCCTCTGTGCCGTGGCCGGAGGACCCGGGCAGTGTCCCACACCAGCACACGAGAAACCGGGGAGAGAAAGGGAACGCTGGTGGGCAGACCGGCCCCCACCGGGCAGTCCCCCTCAGTGCCCCTCTCCCTCCACAGCCCCCTGTGCGCACGCCATCCTGCCCTGAGGGCCAGCACCTTTACTTTGGGGCTCCACTCGTGGTCCTCCGAGACCCCGGGAGCGTTCTTCACGGTTCCGGGAGCTCGCATCCCGCGGCTTGCTGAGAGGTGTCTGGTGACCCCAGGCCGCTGATGGGGTGAAGGCCAGGGACCATGGCTCTAGCCCAAGAGGGATCCTTGACGATCCTCAGGAGCTGGGGATAGGAGGGCACGTGCTGGCCGGCAGGGAGATGCCAGTCCTGGCCCGTCAGCTCGTGCCCTCCAGGCGCCACAGCCGAGAAGGGCTGTCACCTCCTGTCTGCTGGGAAATAGACCTCGGACCGGTCCCGCGTAATCCTCGCCGCGTGTCTTCTCCGCAGCGAGTCTGCGCACCGCTCCCCGCGCTCCCCGACACCCCACACTTCCCCAGGAAGCCACTCACTCCTTCGGGAAACACGTATAAGCACCGTGACACGCCAGGCACGTGCTCGCTGCTGGCGAGAGGGCAGTGAGCAAAATGGGCAGAGGTACTTTCAGAGACTCGTTGCCTTGTCAGGAGGGGCCCACACCAGTGTGGTCACCCAGGCACGGTCACAGGCTCCGAGAGGTACATAGAGACCAGTGCAAAATGGCAAGAGCTCTGACTCGTCCCAGGGAGGGCAGGAGCAGTCAGGGAGGGCTTCTTGGAGGAAGGGACATCCTGCTGAGGGGTGAAAGCCTGGCTGTTAAGTTTGATGCAGTGGGGGAGCAGGGCATCCCTGAAAGATGAAAAACCCCAGAGGGGGGTCTGCCCCCAAGACCGTGACCATGCACGTCCTCTTGGCAGGATTCGGCCGGGACCAGGGGGGTCTCGGGACTTTTCTGTCTCAGCCTGGACCTTCTGCAGGTTCTTTGCACCGGGGCCTCATATTATCTGCTCTCGCTTTGTCAGAGCACTGGGTCAAGAGACACACAGACAGATAGACAGACAGACAGACAGAGACAGAGACCGAGAATGGACACAGGAGAAGAGGAACCCGGAGAAACCACAGACTTTCATGAACCAGCTTGGATATGACACCCATCATTATATTCTCTCCCTCAGAACTAGTCACACGGGCCGTCCACCGGGGAGGGGAGGAGGTGTCACAAGGATACCAGAGGCTGTGTGAGTAAGAGGGCACATGTCGGAGATAGAGACCCCTGTTCATGCTGTGACACCACAGCCTGACGCCAGCCAGGACACGGCTGGTCCCCCCGTGGCCCAGACAGAAGCCGGGAGATGCAGAAGGCAGGACGGTCACACCGCAGAGGGGAGAGCATCCCTCACGACCCAGGGCCAGAAAGGTTCACAGGCCCCTGGGCCAAATAACGCTCCAAAGCCTGTGCGTTCCCCGGGATGGAGACCAGACCCGTCCCAGTCCATGGGAGCAGGCGTCAGAGATGCGGGACGTCCCGGGGAGGGACTCGGGCAAGGGAAACCCGAGGGACGCAGCGCTGGGCACCTTCAGACCGGCAGGTTTCTGGTCTGGGGACCGGAAGCCCAGGTGACAACGTGACGAAGCAGAGGTCCCCAGAGACAGGTGTGATGGGCTCCCGTCTCCGGGAGACCGTCCTCAGGCAGAGAGGAGGGACCGGGGGCTCCAGGGGGATGCTGCCAGCCTGCCGGGAACCAGCCCCTCTGGCTGCAGGTGCACTCAGGTGGGCAGAGAGGACATGAACGCGACAGCAGTGCGTGGCCGGCCTCTCTTTCCCAAATCCAAGGCCAACGTCCTCTGCAGCCCTTGCCACACCGCCCCTTGTCTCAAAGCAAAGTGGTCTCTTCGCTCAGGTTCCCTGGTGCCTGTTCAGGACAACGATGCCTCCCAGTAAGAAAGAGGAGAGGCAGGTGGGGCTCACCCAGCTGGGGGGCCCTCGCAGACAAGCCGGCACTCAGTCTGTGGGCCACGGCCTCTCCTGCCCCCACCGGCACCATCTGCCCTCTGTCCGCCCACCCCCACCTCCCAGGAGGAGATGAATCCAACCCGAGGACAGCCTCGGGGCCAGCCTGGAAGAGCTGGGTGGAAGGACAGGTGAGGGAAGACAGAAAGGCTGTTCACGACTCCCAAATCTGATGACCGAAGTCTAGGAGGCAAGAGGAACATGGGAGGAAATGCAGGGTGTGCATTTGGACGTCTTCCTAACAGGAGAGGGTGGGTGGGTGACCCAGGGACTCGGGCAGAGGCCTGACAACTTCAAGGGAGCCAGGAGGAGGATCCGCGAGAACCAGAGCAAACCCACAAAAGCACAGGGGCGGCGGGAGGTGCAGGAGACATTCGTGTGCGGGTTCCCCAAGGCCCCCATCCTTCGCTCTATGTGTGTGTGTGTGTGTGTGTGTGTATGATGGTTAAAAACCTTGGTGAATATGACTTACGTGTCTTCTTGGGGGGAGGAGAGCCATGGGGACGGCGCTCTCCCTTGCTGGCTGTGGGTGAGGGGCCGTACCACCTCCTGGGTGGGGTCCGGGGCTCACTCTCGTGATCCAGGTGCGTGCACACAGCGGGGAGCAGACAGGGTGCTGAGGGCAGGCATGGAAGCATCCACAAAGGAACAAGGACAGAAGCGGCTTCTGCTCTCGGGGGTGGGACAGGATGATAGGGTCTTGGTCTTGAATTTGGGGAAGTGGGGTTGGCACGGCACAGTTGTCCCGGTGATGCCGCCTCAGGGCGCCCGAGTCCACCTGCCCCTGGGGGAGCACCTGCGACCCTCCGCTCTGCCTGAGGGCTCTGTCCTGCCCCCACGGGCACCTCCTCTCCTGCCAGCCGGGGCCAGCCTGCCACCCGGGAGCGCGGATACCCCGACGGCCCTGGGGACACAGCCGGTCCGGGTACGACACCGTCTCCCAGTTGGCCTGAGCGCCAGGCCGCCACGGTGCTCCCCCTCCTCCTCCGGGCTCCCTGTACTCGTCATCCTCCGGGCTCCGTGGGCCCAAGTCTTCCTCTGATCAGGGACCACCCTGTGTCCAGTCTCCACACGCTGGGACTTGGGGCAGGTCGTCTGGACCTTCTGGACTCGTGCTTCCTTGCAGGGACATGTGCAGAGGCCTCCCTCCCAGACTCGCCAGAGGGGACCCAGCACAGGAAGGTTCAGACCCTGCAAAGGAAGAGGCCACGTGGGGGACCCCGTCGGGTCGTGCTCACCGATGAGGTCCCGGTGTTCGGCACACGGCAGGGACCTGAGATCGCCGGCTGAATTAGGGAAGGAAGGAGTGAAACCACAGAAGCCGGGTCCACACACCAGGTCAGGTCAGAGGTCAGGTCAGAGGGCGTCACACCTCGGGCCCTGGAAGGGGCCACGGGACACGTCCTTCTGTCCCTCCAGCGCTGACCTTCCTTCACGTGGGACCTGCTGACGTCCTGGATCGTCTCCACCTCCTCCGCAAACGACGCTGAGTGTTCCCGGAAGGGGGACAGCAGGCAGGGCCAAGGAGGGGCTTCCGGAATCCTGTGCCCTGGGGGACTCTGGGACAGCCTTCCAGGTGGCTCTTTACGTCCTCCAGGCACCAGGCCACAATTCAACTTCATCTGTCGGGG